ATCCTTAACAATGCCCACCCACGTGAGAAACTGGACTATTATCTAAGCTATGTTGATCCTAGACAGTCCTGGATAGCCAAGAAAACAGCGAGTGGCTCGTTCCATGAAATGAAAGTTGCTGTACTTGTATCCACAGGAGAAGGAGAAGGGATAGATAGATATCTGGATAAACCCACTGTGGTATAATCCAGGTGCTCAGTTAACCCCTGCGACTGGTCTCCTCTCCTGGCATTGCTAAAAAGCCCCCATCAAGTGATTTAAATATTTGTTAGCTGAAGTAAACTAATATGCACAAAGACACTTGAACCTAAGTACACAATTTACTTAACTCTGTGTAACAACATCAAAGAGATTTATTTAATAAATCGAAATTAAAATGAACTTGTTTAGGCTAGTAGAGTTTAGGTTATGTGAATGATGATTTCATAAAGGTATTGGAAAGTAACAACCTTTGGACAGTTCTCGGCTTGAGACCCTGCCTATCTTTTCCAGTTTGTCGTCCTCACTGCTTTCTGCAGGTCGTTACACTCGACGGTCGGCAAATAATGGATGCCTACTAGTCCCTGCCCAATGTGGGAACTGGAGAATGAAGAAACAAGCGCATATTTGTAGTATCTGCTCTAGGTGTACACTAAGCATGTATATTATACTAACATCAAGCATGTTTATTTAAATAAAACATTTCATCTCTCCCTCATGCTCACATTCACTCCTGTCCAATTTGGAAGGGCTTATGTCTCACATTCCAACTGTTACATCTTCTGCCTTCCTCTACACGTCCTGTAATGATAGTCAAGTCTTCTACGTCAGGTGCCATCTCTCGTACAGACTCAAAATGACAATCAGTCAGACAGAACCAGTTCTGGAATCTATGCTTGGAACAATCGACGCGCCCAGAATGCTAACAATAGTTCTGGGGCGAATCAAATAACAAATCTCGTGGATTTACTCTCCGGGATCAATCTCCGCATTAGCCTCCCGAGAGTTAAACACATTTCAGTGTGTAAGCTATATGTAATACAGATTCACATTAACCACACGTGAAAAGATTGCCAAAGTTATCTTCACGCTTGTGATTTCAAAAACATGATAGTTAATTAAATTTCAATGGCAACAACAACATTTAGGTTTTACAACATTGAAACACACGTGCACGAAAAAACATTCATGACACTATAAGTTAGGATATAAAGCAATGTGACAGTGCCCTACGAGAATGAAGAAATGTCCGCCTAGGAGTATTACAAAGTGATGAAGACACACACTTGAGCAAAAAGACAGTTAGATCTCTATCATAAATAAAATAAAGGTTTTGAAACTAATTTCGATCTTACCTGGAAAAATGAAACCACAATGCCAAAAGTTCTGTCTCAAGCTTAGGTTAAGCCCAACAGATGGCATGTGCTCGACAGGATCTCATTTACCAGACCTTCAGTTCACCCCTTTATAACTTTTATCAAGCTCCTCCTACATTACGCCTAAAATCATTCTCATTCAGGGATATCACAGCTCCTCCCTGTGGGTGTATATTCACTGTCAGTCAGTGACTGTACAACAATTGTTTGAATTCCCACGCTCACATTCTACAGGTTCAATTAAGCTGGTCCCAGCTAATAGGCCTAGTCACACCTCCAGTCTACTTCACCTGTCATCACAATAAAATCCGACTTTGTCAATTCTTCTGCCAACACTTTCCGCTCACTGTGTCAATAGTGACGATCTGACCGGCACTCCAGTTTAGGTAACCTCAGGGGGAGATAATGGCAATTAGCCCTTGTTATCTGTTCCTGAAGATCTGGCAGGGGGAATAACTATCTGACACCAACAAATGGTGTGCAAATCTCCAGTCAGTAAGTCTGCTTGGTCAGTCTTATCTTTGTACCTTAACACTTAACATCTGGGAAAAAGTTTTAGTGTTTGATATGACCAACAGTCAAGGAGAATTAAATGCTTGTTTATTTCGCCTACTTAGATTAAGGATGTATCCAAATCCCTGTTTTCCTGTATACTTTCAAAATACAAAGAAATAAAAGTAGGTTGAGGAAAGACATTCTGGAGTCACCGAGCGTATTGTCACAGCAGGTTTTGCCTTAGCTGCAGACGTTCTACTACTGTTCCACTGTTTGGTCCAGTATTATCCTACCTTTTGGTCTAGTATAATCCCACTGTTTGGTCCAGTCTTATTCTACTTTTTGGTCTAGTATTATCTAACTGTTTGGTTTAGTATTATCTTACTGTTTGGTATATTAGTATCCTACTGTTTGGTCCAGTATTATCTTAATGTTTGGTGTAATAGTATCCCACTGTTTGGTCCAGTATTATCTTAATGTTTGGTATAATAGTATCCCACTGTTTGGTCCAGTCTTATTCTACTTTTTGGTCTAGTATTATCTAACTGTTTGGTCCAGTATTATCTTACTGTTTGGTATATTAGTATCCCACTGTTTGGTCCAGTATTATCTTACTGTTTGGTGTAATAGTATCCCTCTGTCTGGTCTAGTATTATCTTACTGTTTGGTATAATAGTACCCCACTGTTTGGTCCAGTATTATCTTACTGTTTGGTATAATAGTATCCCACTGTTTGGTCCAGTCTTATTCTACTTTTTGGTCTAGTATTATCTTACTGTTTGGTCCAGTATTATCTGACTGTTTGGTATAATAGTATCCCACTGTTTGGTCCAGTATAACCCTACTGTTTTGACCAGTATCGTCCCACTGTTTGGTACATTATTATTCAATGTTTGGTCCAGTATTATCTGACTGTTTGGTATAATAGTATCCCACTGTTTGGTCCAGTTTAACCCTACTGTTTTGACCAGTATCGTCCCACTGTTTTGACCAGTATCGTCCCACTGTTTGGTACATAATTATTCAATGTTTGGTCCAGTATAACCCTACTGTTTGGTCCAGTTTTACAAAACGCAGTTGGTGGCAATGAATGTAGGAAACCCACAAAATATTAGTATTTATGACCATCAGCTGTACACGAGTTTGTGGATCCAGGCTCACGAATCTCAGGTCATCATTAGCTACATGCAAAGATAAAAAATTGTATAGAAAAAGCCTAAACCTTTAAACATAAACTGGAGTGTTTTCAAATCTTACTAAGAGAGTCCTGGTCAAACGAAAAGCTGACTGATAATATCAAAATGAAAGTTCACGAGTCTTATGTCTTGAGCACACTACTGTACGGTAGCGAAACCTGGACTCTTTATGCTCCTCAAGAACAAAGACTAAATACCTTCCACATGGTCTGTGTAAAGCGCATCATTGCTAAATTTATGGGAGACCTCACAAGAGCAAAAATAAGACAGGAAGTCAATAAGTAAGTCACAAATGGTTATGAGATGGCAGGAAAATGAAGTTGATGGTTTCTAAAGGTGTCATAAGGTGACAACAACATTGGACTTTATGTCTCTGTTCGTTAAGTGACACTAGGTGTCGTGTACGCATGAACAACACAGAAACAAAATGGCGACGGTACTTAGGGATTGTACCCTCAAAAAATAACGTGCTGTTGTGGGTTTATTTTTGTGGCAAAAGTGCTGCCAACAAAGGAAATTTATAAGGAAATGCTCCCTGTTTATGCTGAAAAATGTTTATCCTGTTAAACGGTGCACAGGTGAGTAAAGCATTTTTCTCAAGGACACTCGACGATTGTTGATGAAGTCCGATCTTGTCGTCCTGTTGAGATTGCAATATACGCAGCGGGTGAAGGAGATGATTAAAGGAGACAGACGAGTAACGGTTGACTCTGTAGCAGCTGCCATAGGGTGCTGACATGGTTAAGCATGCAATAAAATGCATAATCGCTTGAAATTTAAGAAAGTGTGCTTAAGGTGGGCACCCAGACAATTGAAGGACGAACACAAAATGAACCGAATAGACCTGCCTTTGCAGCATCTCTGTCGATACGCAGACGAAAGAGAAGACATGCTGAATAGGATTATTACTGGTGATAAATCATGGATGCACCACTACCAGCCCGAATCAAAGCCTGCTTCACTGCAAAGACATCCTTCTTCTCCTTTTGTTTAAAGATTCAAGGTTAAAAGTTCAATCGATGCTTCATGATGCAGTTCAAAGAAAACGTACAGGCCAGCTGACTAGAGGAGTGCTGCTCCTTTATGGCATTGTCAGATCACTTTCGGCTTGGCTAACTCAGGAGGAATTTAACCATCTAGGGTATGAACTTCTGGAACATCCACCTTACAGTCCTGACTTAGGCCCTGGTGATTTCAACCTTGGGGTAGGGGGGGGGGGGGTAGGGTGTCCGCTGAAAACCTACCTACCTTTGCTGAAAATGAATGTGAAGTAATAATATGGTTTCGAAAACACATCACGCAGTTCTATGCAGCAGGTTTGGAAAGACAGATAAAACGATGGGACAAGTGCATCATCAATGTTGGTAGAAATTATGTTGAAAAGTAAAGGGACAGTGTAGGTGTTTAAAAGAAAAAGGTTTCAAGTTTATACATGTTTTATTAATTTAAAAATATAATTATATTTATTTGCCAGTCAACACATAGTAGTAGTAGTAGTAGTAGTAGTAGTAGTAGTAGTAGTAGTAGTAGTAGTAGTAGTAGTAGTAGTAGTAGTAGTAGTAGTAGTAGTAGTAGTAGTAGTAGTAGCAGTAGGAAGTAGTAGGTATTAGTAGTAGTAGTACCAAACTCAATTTAGAATCAAGCTCCTGGAGCGCCACCCCCTTCCCCCTTCCTCTCTCTACCCACCCTTTTTGTTACTATTCTTAAAATAATAATTTGGATCAGCGACCCTGCAGTGTACACATCTATTTTATGCTTGAAACAATACTCATTAACGTCTCTAATGCATATTTAATATTGTACTGAAGTTCCCCCCACCCCTTCCCATTTTTATGTTCTCTAATTTGCATTACCAGATTTCTGCGAATGGCATTTGTATCAACACTGTGAGGGTGGCCAGGATCTAACTGCGACTTGGTGTTTTCTGGTGTTTACGAGATTAATTCCGTACATTATGCCATCTGGGTAAGTTGCCTGTTGACACTGATGAAGTTGTTGATAACGATCAGGTATTTGCTTGATACTGGGCGGTTAGTGATACTGTGAACACTTGACCTAAGTGTGACATGACATGTCTATGTTTATGGTAGTTCATTCTGCAGCTAAGGAAAGGGGACAATAACCCTCCCCCAATAAGAAGAAGATGAAGAAGAAGTAGAAAAAGAAGAAGAAAAAGAAGAAGAAGAAGAATAAGAAGAAGAAGAAGAAGAAGAAGAAGAAGAAGAAGAAGAAGAAGAAGAAGAAGAGAAAGAAGAATAAGGAGGAAAAGCAGAAGAAGAAGAAGCAGAAGGATATGAGGAAGAAGCAGAAGAATAAGAAGAAGAATAAGAAGAAGAAGAAGAAGAAGAAGAAGAAGAAGAAGAAGAAGAAGAAGAAGAAGAAGAAGAAGAAGAAGAAGAAGAAGAAGAAGAAGAAGAAGAAGAAGAAAAGTGAAAGAAAAAAAGAAGAAGAAGAGAAAGAGTTAGAGAAAAAGGTGATGGTGGCGTTGATGATAATAATAATAAAAAAATCATCATCACCATGTCAAGTCATGGAGGATCACCAGTGCCAAAAATGACTGAAAGTAGAGAACACCTTAAACAGATAAAAGCTGTTGTGTCCAGTATGTGGGAATATGAAAGGGAAGTTGACGACTTTGGAGAAGAAGGACGTATAAATGTATGTTCTAGTCTGGATGTTGCTAGCTAGACGTGTGCACCATATGTCACGCTGGGTGACGGAATAGTGTTCGTGTTGCTGGCGGGTGCTGCCTCAGGAACAGGTTTCCAGGGTGAGGGATTCCCAAGCAAGATACCGTGACAGGCCGCAGATGAGAGGTCTGGATAGTTTTCACGAAGATGTCCATCGGCCTGGATGGTCTCTAGCGACGGTGGCCTCAACATATAGGAGTAATTAGAACTACAGGCACGTTAATAACGAAAGTAGATTTGTGCGATTGGGTAGTGATTGCCCGTAACAACCACTGGACATAGTGTCACAGGAGAAGTCCTTCGGAGCAACGTCCTGAATGCATGCCTGTGTAGGAGGAGGAATGACTGTATTATTGTATTAAGCGTATCTTGTGATGCAATCCATTTGTATGATATTTCAATATAATGTGGACTTTGACGGTGGATCTGTGTTCGGAGTTCTAAGTTATTGTTGAGCGGGAGTTGTGACCGGTAAGATTTACATCTTTGAGTGACCCTAGACTCTTAGCAAATGAGCGAGGCATCATGCTATCTAGTACACAACTACCAATCTTACAAAGCATAGACTTTCAGAAGTACCAGCTAAGCAGAAAGCAATGCAGTTGATTCTAATGAACGCGTGTAATAACAAAGCCGAGCAGTGACAGCTTTATTCGATGTAAACGCTTTACCACTCTTCGTTCGATCTGGAATCAGACACAGACATTACGTTCCTGAAAAAAACAAATCGATTTGTGACTTCAGCATGCATCTTTCCCCTTCTTCATCTTGTGTCTCAGTCTTTTCTTCAGCTCTGGATTCACTGGCACTTGCTCAGTTCTCTCCTTAAGTTCCTCATTAGTGATTATATCATACCCTTAATTCCTTCTAATCTGCAGAAGCATCATGCTTTTTTTTAGGAACAGTTTTAGTTGTTCTCCTTGATTTAGTTCCACACGGACGTACCGATTATAATTACAGTCCCGTATCACATCTGTCATGAGGGAACTATGTTCACATTTTGTTCTTCAAAACATTTAATATTAAAGTGTTTTTTTTCCCCTCAAGATCCCAGCGAGTTGCAGTAGTGCAGTGGCTTTATGCCACAATGCCGACAAGTAGATCTTGGGCTGAAATCCACGCATGGCGGATTTTTTAAAACTGACATTGGCTGTCCTGTCGAACAAGATTAAATGGGTACTTGTAAATGTCATGAGAATTACATACAGCCAGTGTGATTTGACCACCTCACCCACTGAGTGCCGATTGGTCTTTAACAATTTGACTATAGCATCATATACCCGGCAAGCTACTGGCCTGAAAGTGGCCATTTACTTACTTTGCTTATTTGTAGTCCATGCCACGTTGGGGAGACAAGGCTGTGGCTGCCAACGCCACACGACCAGAACTATAAAAATACGGTTGTAAAGCAATATTTATGCATGTATTTTCCTTCACAGAATCGTTAAAGCCCTCGCCGCGATAACAAACTTCGCATTCTACCGAGGAGCTCGTGATGATGATTGCATAGATCGTCTCAACCACATGGTAATGCATGGATTACTGATCTTTCTAGCCATTTTCACGGGGACCAAACAGTTTGTGGGGTCACCCATCTACTGCTGGCTGCCCACAAACTACGATGAGAAGTACCAGCGAAAGTTCGCCAACAACTACTGCTGGGTTCATACCATGTACAATGTTCCTTTCGATGATCCTGTCCCGGTGTCTGAGGAAAGCAGGTGAGAGTTGTTAGTAAGAGTAGATTCCATGAGCCTTATCTGGCAGATGGATTCAGGTTTTGTATGCAGGCAGAGGGCTGAGTCACTGAAGAAGTTTACATTTGTGTAGTCACCTGCATCTTTGTTTCAAGGTATGCAGACACCGTTGGTAAGGAAAAAGCAGATCGATTAGTTGGTGCTTCTACAATTTGATGTCCAGCAAATAAATCATACCTTAGTCGTTAATACTTCAAGCGAGAGATACGGAGAGAGAGAGAGAGAGAGAGAGAGAGAGAGAGAGAGAGAGAGAGAGAGAGAGAGAGAGAGAGAGAGAGAGAGAGAGAGAGAGAGAGAGAGAGAGAGAGAGGGGGAGAGAGAGAGAGAGAGAGAAAGAGAGAGAGAGAGAGAGAGAGAGAGAGAGAGAGAGAAGACAATTAGAGCAATGTGTGGTCGAGGTGTCCATGTCACTGCTATGAATTAGAGTACAGGAATGAAAGGCGCAAAAGACGTGTGAGAGGCCTTGACAATCAGCATAGGAAGTGAACAATTTCCTCTAGAAGTTGAGGTATAAATTGAGAAGAGAATCATGAGTCCGTATGAACAAGCCAGTATCCTAAGGACATCCCAACTCACACCTCATTTGTGATAGTAACCATTACATGGATGCATTTCTGGGAATCTTTCGATGAATGGGTCTAAAAAAGCAAATAGTTGTCAGCACCTTATTTGTGAAATTCGGTGGTGGTGATTTATTACATAAGAAACTTTAAATCTTCTACAATGGCAAAAATTATTAGCACCAAGAAACATATTATAAACAGTATATTTGCTTCTGCACTGTGCCACAAACTCAAAACTTTGACATTATCAAAGGGTAACCTCTGTATAATTACCATCTGCAGGATAAGATGTCCAAGGAAAGCTGTGAATTTAACCAGCCGAGATAAGAGTGAGAAATCATACCATTAGACAGACTGTGGTACTAACACCGCGCACAACATTCATTGAAATACAAACAAGCAACTGGTTCGGTCATCTTTTTAGAATGCAACAATAAAACAATTAGAAACACATGCATCATCATCATGTAGCAGGTCCTCTCATCATTGTCTGCCTGAAAGAAACTCGGTCTCTCGCCAGTTTTCCCGCCTCATGAACTTTCACACTCAAGGAGTCACTTATATCCTGTGCCCATCTTAGTGTCGGTCGGCCCCCGCCCCACCTTCCTGGTACCATGCCTTCTGCAATAATTTTTTCCAATCAAGAACACATGCGCTGCGTCTGAAAATAGCTGATGTGAAAGCTAGAGGAAGCTCCAGGAGAATATGAATCAAAATGAAAGACTATACAAATAAGAAACAACAATAGTCTTTGCTACACACTGACCCTGGATCACAAAAAGGATGAAGGGGGTATGGGGGGGGGGGGGGGGTATGAGATTCTGTGGCAGAGGGTAAGCTGTTTGCCCCACGCTCTGAAGGTTGTGATTGTTATTCTGTGGAGTGCATTGCAGTTATTTCATGAAAGACATGGAGCGTCACTGCAAGCGCTTGTCTTCAACATTAGATCACGGGTTGACCGAGCCTAAAATAGTTACCATGCAAACTCCTGGGACAAAAGGCAGCCAGTGTGATGTTAAGCAATCACCCACCGAGTACCAGAGAGTCTATGAAATGTAATTCTAACATTATTTGCTCATTGGTCACAGGCGTTGACAAAAAAAAAAAAAAATCCTTGACTTTGGCTAATTAGAAGGACAGGAGTCGCATTGGCAGAGCGGCTAGACGCTCGCCGTGGATCGGAAGGTTGTGGGTTCGCTCCCTGGGGAAGCCGGACATTTTTTCCCTTCAAAAATGACCTTGGCTCTCAACCTTGAGTGGGTACAGGGTGCGGTCCCGGGAAGTAAAGGCGGCTGGCGTGATGCAGACCACATCACCCATCTTGTGCCGATTGGTCTATAAAATATAGGTCTACACCTATTTGTCTTATAAACCTAAAGGCGGGGGAAAAGGTCCTTTACTTTACTTACTTTTAATTATAAGGACAGTGTACGAGTAAAGGAAAGAAACGTCTTGGGTTAGCAACTTGACATTTTAAAGAGGACATGGTATTCAAAGCGTGATTTAGTCAGTATTGCAGAAAATTTCTTACTTCCAATTGTAGTCTAGATTTACGGCTAAAATGGTCAATAGCGGTCTGTCTACTGACTCTCTGAAAAGTTCCTTTCGTCCTACTTGGTTTTGCTGATGCAAACGCTTCAGTTTTATTTCTAGTAGCCTAGTACATTCAACTACCTGTTTCCCATGTAGATATTACCACGATGTGAGTTACTACCGCTGGTCGTCGATGATGTTCATTTTCCTAGCTGCCCTCTTTCGCATCCCTCAACTTCTTTGGAAAGACCTGAAGAAGTACTCTGGAGCCAACATCGAGAAGCTCGTTGGTAATGTGTATTGTTCAATCGTTTTATTTTCTGTCTTCGGCTTTGCTGGCAAAGCTTTTTTGTTTTTGTTTTGTTGTATTTAGTACTTTCTACATTTAAAAGAAGGTAAGTGAAGAATATTTTATGCAACTTTATTTGCCAGCTGAGACAGGAAAGAAAACTCTCAAGAGCTATATAAATCATATCCTGATAAAAGGAAGTGAATCATTGTCAGTCAGTGTAAATTATATGGAAAAGACGGAGATGTGATTTAATCAAAGAATGATGAGAACACCCTAGACAGATAAAAAGAATAATGCTGATGTGAAAGAAAAAAAAATGACTTTCTAAACGAACTGATTGTCAGATTATAAGAAAATAATTTACATTCTTTCCTAATATCATGAGGAGGAGAAAACAGATTTACACTACGACGTTGGGAAAGTTTAAGGGAAAAAAGAAAGCAGAGAGATACCGAGAGGAAAGATGCTTGACAGTTTGACGCGTCCTGGCATGGAGGATCATCTCTGTCGGAACTCAATGAAATTACACAAAATAGAAGGTTGTACATGGACATAACTACCAATGCCACAGGGCAGCTACTTTAGGAAGAATCTTCTTCATATCATTATTTGGTTTCGGAATGCGTCTTTCGGATGACAAGTGTAATTATTGGGGGAGAACCCAGGTGTCATTGGACCTACATTGTGTTTGCTTCTTATCAGAAATTCCTGGTTAAAATGGACGCTAGACAGCGGCGCTGTTCGGAGCGGAGGCAAATTTTTTGCTTCTGCCGGACTGTGGCCGAAGTATTTTTGCTCCATTTGTAGACTGGATATAGTTTCGTCGCCCAGCTTCTGAGTTGAATGCATGGCGTGACCCTGTGAGCTGCGGATTGCATTTGGAATGTTTTTTCGACTGTGACCAACGTGGTGTGAATTGTAGATTCAGAAAATGGCGCGATGCCGGTCGTGCAATGCTGGCGGGACCCGAATTAAAATTGATCGCGCGGGCAACTGCTGATCTGTTGGCGACAAGTTCTGCTATCATCAATGATGAACTACATTTCTAATGTTGGACTGTTTGTGTTAGCACTTCGGATGGCTACCATATGCGTTAATGCGAGTGTATGCTAGATATGCTGAGACAGCAGTCTGTCAATCTTTCCTCAAGGGACTGTGATAAACATTCTGGGTGTTTTTCGCTGGCACAGGAGCGGAGCAAAGATGGGGCGACCCCTTTGCCATGAAGCTGAAACTACCAGACTACCTCGTATCCAGAGAAAAGTTCAAGCAAGAAGCACTGCTGAGGATAAACATATTGTTCTTCACAACATAAATTCGACTCATCTAAGATCGCTTTAAGCGGTCAATACTGTATTACCTCGGGTATAATTTGTCTGCAGGAATGACAGCAGAAACGACTCTAATGGATCAGGATAAGCGGGACGAGCAGCTGGGACACGTGGCCGAGTTCATCCATAGATGGGCTACAACACGCAACATGTCTCATCGGTGAGTTCTTACACAACTGTCTTCTTCACGATGTCTTTAGCTGAAGAACAGACCTTCAGTCAACACACACCAAGTCGTCATTGTTATGTCTCTTGTCATCTTTGCTACCTCCATCCTTTCCTTATATTGGTAATTTTTGTTTCTGTCTTTAATTCTAGTTTGTTTATGTTTCCCTTTATATTTGTGTCACTGTTCGTTTCAATAAAGAGACATACTAGTTAACTGTTATTAGGTTTTCTCTGTTTATAACCTATCCAACATCAGCGTCTTTATCTCAACTCCTTATTCTCAAGAACATGTTTAATTGTCTATTTCATCATAATTGTGACGATTCTGTAAAACAGTATTTAATTATCCTCTATGCTAGCACCAGTTAGCGTTTTTGTTTTATTTTATTATTAACACTAATTTTGGTAACTGTAAAACATTCAAAAGCGGATAGTTAGCGAGTCATTGCAGATAAAATCGTACATGTTACCAAGGGGATTCAAATGAAAACCACAAAATTATGATAGAAATTACAATAGTCATGCCATTGTCTTATGATCTGTCACTATTAACGATGTCAAGAGTGTTAAGCACGTGACATCACTGGACAGACGAACACGATAACGTAATATGTGAAAGAAGAAAAAGAACATTTTCCGACTTCTTCAGGCATATTGGGCATACAGGACTAGACCTTTATTTTACATACCAATCGGCACTGGGTGTGTCATGCTGTCTACCTCACACTAGTCGCCTTTACTTGCCAGTACTGTGCTGCAGTCACTCATTGAAGTATCGTTGATCAAACTACATTTCATCAGCTTCCCGATACCTCCCCATCCCAACACCATGCTGTCAAACCCACTCAAAGTTATCGCAGCCCTTTCTGCAGAATTTAATAACGCCTCGTCAACCAGCGTTCCACATAGCTGCAACTATGCCGACTCAAAACATGGCCAACACAAACTTATTTGCTGGATGATAGGATCACCGCGTGTTTGGCTGCTGGCTGGATGATACGATCACCGCGTGTATGGCTGCTTGCTGGATGATAGGATCACCGCATGTGTGGCTATTTGTTGGATGATAGGATCACCGCGTGTGTGGCTTTTTGCTGGACGATAGGATCACCGCGTGCGTGGCTGCTTGCTGGATGATAGGATCACCGCGTGTGTGGCTGCTTGCTGGATGATAGGATCACCGCGTGTGTGGCTATTTGTTGGACGATAGGATCACCTCGTGTGTGGTGAATGCTTGTTGGACTTACTCGCATCAGAGCGACTGGATAATTCCCTTCCCAGAACTTAATATATATATATTTTTTAAATCTGAAAATTAATTGAGAGTAGGAATATACGACTGCTTAGACCACTAGCTATCAATACCATCACACACGGCTCTGAAAATGGGATCTCATCATCGGAGCGTGAAATGAAAGTACAAACATTGCACATGAGATCTTTTCCAAACATGTTGGGTGTATCATAAAAAAAAAAAATCCATCACAAATGGCGAAGTTAGCCAAATCATCACTCATGATATTGGCAACTATGAACCTTTTTTTAACAAAGATGAAAAGATGGATAACTTAATGGTACGGACATGTTACAACATATGTTGGCCTCTTTAAAACAATACTACATGGTTCAGGAGAGTGAAAGAGGAGAAGAGACAAACAGAGAGAGACTTCGTTGAAGAATTTAGCCAAATATCTCTGGCTTAGGCGTTGTGAACGCGCTTTGAAACGCCTAGGTACTGGGTTCCGTACGAGCTGCTGGAGAGTTTTTTGTCGCCCTGCAACAGTGTCGACAGTGGTATCTGGAGCCGACCGTTCAGTAGCAGTGGCATACTAATGAAGTAAAACTTGATCAGGAAAACTACAACAGTCAGAACATGCGGGGGTTTGGTTCTGCAACGCCATGTAATTGATACACAACTAACTCTGTTTATGGCCTCAACAGTCAAATATCGCCCATTGTATCCGACCAACAAATGTAGAGAGTTTATCAGACAGTCACCAGCAACTGGTGACTCAGCGACACAGGGCTGTTCGACTATAACAAAGTTACATGTTTGTATATTTCCAGAAAAAATAAATTGTTATGCTTTTGATTTTAATAAAATGAATAATTTCATTTTATTCTATTTCTGAAAAGTACGATTTTCGTGTTTATGCAGTTTCAGAAAAGAAAAGTAAAATTTAAATGTTTTTATATTTGCAGGAAAGAAAAATCATTATATCTGGTAATTGTCCGAAAAGGAATATTTTCATATTTTCATATCTTTATATTTTCAGAAAAGTAACATTTTCATGTTTTTTATGTTTTCAGGAAAGGAAAGTTCGCTTCCATAGAAAATTCAGTTTCCAAGTTTATGTTCTGCTATGGAAAGAGATCTGGACACAATCTGGTTCTGATCTACCTGTTCATCAAATTCCTCTACTTGATCAATTCCATATCTCAATTCTTCATTATATCTAGATTCCTGAAAACAAATTACTGGGAATTCGGAGTAAACGCGGTCAGAACTTACGCCCAACACGGTCAATGGGAGAATGAAGACGTGTTTCCGCGAGTAGCCTTGTGTGATATGAAAGTCCGAGCCTTAGCCAATGTCTACATCTACACACTTCAGTGCGTTTTGGGGATTAATCTTTTCCTGGAGAAGTTTTTCTTTGTGATATGGTTCTGTTTAATAGTTATTATGATTCTGAATGCCTTGAGTTTTCTCAAGTGGACAGTACAGCTTTTACACGAAGAAAAAGCAGTTGGCTTCTTGACAAAATACATGGGGCAATTGTTCCCAAAGAAGTCTCTAACGCCAACGGATAAAAAAATGTTTTTGGCTATGGCTCGGAGATATCTGCAGAAGGATGGTGTTTTTGTGATACGGATGATTGCCGACAATTCTACAAGTCTTTTAACGGTTGACCTAATTAGACAGATATGGCTGAGATATTTACATTTCCGGTCTGAGGAGTCACAAAAGACAGGGGGAGACTACTCGAAAATTGATCAGAATGACGTAAAATTACTAGACCGTGGAGAAACGAAAATTGATGATGTTGACAAATAGACCTTGAACAATCAGGTACTATAATTGATGGGAAAGTCTAAAATGTTTAAAATCGCATGAGGAATAAAATGGCAATTATTGCCCCACTCACATCGAAGCAAGGAAAGAAAATATAGATTAACGATCAAATGGTTGAGTTAAGTTAAGAATTGACACAACAGCACTAGGGGCATTCCCATACGTGTTCCGCCCTCATCTTCAGCAGCCAGCGCAGATTTCCAATACTGATAGTACTGGTCACAATCTGGTTATATGTACGTCTTGCCTTTCCTCTGAGCCGGCCAGACATTTTGGTTACAGGTGCCTCATTCTCTCCAGGCCATAAATATCTTCTTTCTCTACTGATTCCGTTGCTTATTTCTAAAGGTACATGGCCACATCTGCCTTGTCATGTATTGATCAAACAGAATAAGGCTATATCACGGTCTAAAGAGAATGGTGCAGTGGGTAGTCAGCGGAAGGGAAAGGGGGGAGGGGTGGTCTGTTCGACACTTTGAATAGAAGATAAGGCAGACATATAGTTAGACTGCTATTGGTACCATGGACAATATAATTCTATTCTGGCTGCTGAAGATACGGACTGAGCGCCTAATGGAATGTCCCGAGACTTGTGGTATCTGTTCTGAACGCAACTCAGTTGAAAGCTATAGTAATCATGTCAGGATTTCAGCATCCAGTCTTCAGATAAGACAGCACCTCACTGTATAAACCAGTGTATGCTAGAGAAGTATTATCGATAATATACTAAAATAAAATAATGTTTATATTTGAAGAATTAGATTCAATGGCAAAACAACTCTATTTTAAATCACATAGATAGACAGTCAGTCCGGTTGACAGGACGATTAACAGACAGGCATTCACGCAAGAAGATAGTCAGACAGATAGAATAACCATTTATACAATACTGATAAACAGGAAGTAAGATAGGCAAATTTTCTGCCAGACAGAATGAAATAAACAAGTAAAATGAGAAAAGAACTACACATTTAAAAAAATCGCAAGCAAACAGGGAAAAAGTCTATTTAAAAGGAAAGCAATAAAGATAGAAAAAAGTAAATTAGGAAGATAAGTAAACGTGGATAAAACCTAAACTAGAGAAAAAGAAAGAATAGGATAGCACATCGACAGAAAATGAAGACAAATAGAGAGAGAAATAGCAGCAATTCAAGAAATAAAGAAAAAAAAAAAAAAAAAAAGGAGAATTCTGAAATAAAAAAAAATAAAAAATAGAACGAATGAAAAAATGTAAGCCAAACCAATACACAGCCATAATACAAACTTTATTGTCATCTTATTGTGCACATTTATACAATATTTACAAATAATAACAATAAAATGGTAATAAAATGGTAAACTGTTCTCACGTGTGGGTTGCGGGGCCACATTTGGCGGAGTAGAGAAGAATAGACCAAATGCTACCTTAACAGTTATGACGCATACTGGGATTAGGTTGAGGTTTGCTACAATCGTATGTTTTTGGAATAAAAGCGTAGATATCGCAGCCTAGCTGTAAACCAGAATACAACATGCCAACCACCATTTAAAGGGCCATCACAAAAAAGAAGAAGAAGAAGAAGAAGAAGAAGAAGAAGAAGAAGAAGAAGAAGAAGAAGAAGAAGAAGAAGAAGAAGAAGAAGAAAAGAAGAAGAAGAAGAAGAAGAAAGAAGAAAGAAGAAGAAGAAGAAGAAGAAGAAGAAGAAGAAGAAGAAGAAGAAGAAGAAGAAGAAGAAGAAGAAGAAGAAGAAGAAGAAAGAAGAAGAAGAAAGAAGAAGAAGAAGAAGAAGAAGAAGAAGAAGAAGAAGAAGAAGAAGAAGAAGAAGAAGAAGAAGAAGAGAAGAAGAAGAAGAAGAAGAAGAAGAAGAAGAAGAAGAAGAAGAAGAAGAAGAAGAAGAAGAAGAAGAAGAAGAAAAAGAAGAAAAAGAAGAGGAAGAAAAAGAAAAAGAAAAAGAAGAAGAGAAAGAAGAAGAAGAAGAAAAAGAAGAAGAAGAAGAAGAAGAAGAAGAAGAAGAAGAAGAAGAAGAAGAAGAAGAAGCAGAAGAAGAAGAAGAAGAAGAAGAAGAAGAAGAAGAAGAAGAAGAAGAAGAAGAAGAAGAAGAAGAAGAAGAAGAAGAAAGAGGAAAAGAAGAGAAAGAATCATTAATATAAGGTCGCATAAACGCGGAGGCTAGATATTGGCCAAGAACGCATGATAGCTGTTGCGCTATGGTTGGTCCTGTTAGTTGTATTATATACTGATACTAGAATAAACTAGGGACAAGGGACGGTCCGAAAGTAATACCCTGTATTTTCTGTTTCAGAGAATAATAAAAATAGAACCATGACATTTTGCTAACTTCAAATTTTAAAATGTTTATTATGTACCGTATTTGTTCGTGTATAAGACACCCTGTGTAAAAGACACACCGTAAAGAAGACGACTACTGTTGTTGGACTCATAATAGGGAAATACATATTTTAAACACATCCCCTGTATGAGACGACTTCCAATTTTAAACTGAATCTGGAAATGCATATTATACATACACAAATAAAATACGGTAACACGAAATGGTACGAGTGTTTGATTCAGATAAAAGCGAAGAGTTGCATTGATTCGTTCAAATTGTTTGTGAGGATAATGTTCTTTTCGCACACCGATAGGAATTCGTGCACGAAATAAATTCACAAGTATGAAATTAACCAATTGTTAAAACTGTGAACAATACCTCGTCTGCCTCTATTTGCCATGATATTTCCTGCTAACCATTTTCTGGTTCGGCGTGGATTTGTATCATGGTACGGTTCGTGGCCGGTCCACCCAGCCTAAAATAGGTACCAGGATGTATGTCTCAGAGAAGTAAAGACGGCCGGCGTTATGCTGACCACATTACCCACCTAATACCGATTGGTATGTAAAAATACGGGGTGTTCTTCTCATGTTCCCGATGGGCCTAAGGCGTAAAAAGGGATCTGTACTTTTTATATTATTTTATGGTTGGTTGACCTAGAATTAGAACCTAGTACCTTTGGCCCGACAGCCAAGAGGCTAGCTGCTGCACTGACATGAATCCATGAACGGTATACATTAAAAAACATGCGACACAATATAGAGAAATAGAAGCTGCACAGATGCAATCTTCACACTTGAACAGTTAATAGAAAAGAACATTGAATACAATAAGAACTTTTTTGTGGCATTCGTAGAACAGGAGAAGGCATTTGACAGAGTCGACAGACAATTATTATGGAAAGTAATGGCAAGATATGGAGTAAGCGAACACCTCATCGAAGTGTGCAAAAGTTTATACAGGGATTGTAGAAGTGTAGTTAGAATAAATCAGGGAACATCTCATCCATTCACAGTAACATCTGGAGTAAGACAGGGGTGTGTCTTATCACCAATGCTGTTTATCACCTATATCGACAGTATATGCAAGAATGACAAGCCCATGAATGAAAATGTTAGTAAGATCAACGAATAACTCTTTGCAGATGACCAGGCCTTGATAGCAGATACAGCCATGAAATTGCAACAACATCTAACATCCATGAATGAAGAATGTAAAACAAATAATATGAGAATCAACACTGAAAAGACAGAAGTAATGTCAATAGGAAAAAAGAAGAGAGATCTAAACATAGCAATAGAGTGCAAAGGCATTAAACAGGCATCTGAGTTTAAATATCTGGGAACTACATTTACCGAAGATGGGAAATTGGATAAAGAAATTAACATTAGATGCAGTAAAGCAAACCAAGTATTGGGACAGCTAGCTCCCCTCTTACAGCATAAGACAATCCCAATCAGCACAAGGAGACATCTTATTCAAAGCATATTTATTCAAACTCTGTGCTACCAGTGCCAGACATGGTCACTCACAACAAACCATAAAAGAAAATTAGTAACCACGGAAATGAGATGTCTGAGAAGTCTTGTAGGAGTGACCATAAGAGATAAGATCAGGAATGAGATCATAAGAGAAAAAGTCGGCACAGAACCAATTATGGATTACATACGAAGACAGCAAGTGAAATGATTTGCCCACTTAGAGAGAATGTCTTGTGACACCATACCATACAAGGCATACATGGAAAGAGAAGAAGGACGTAAAGCACGAGGTAGACCAAGAACAAGATGGATGGATAACATCAGAGAAACTCTACAACAGCACGATGTGCCTATGGTCGAGGCGGCCAGAAGACCTGGAAACAGAACCTTATATCTCCATCGACACCCACAGCGGTAAAAGAGGAAGTGAAGAAGAAGAAGAAGAAGAAGAAGACACAATATGATCTCAGGTCCATTTGACAATAAGATGACATTCTGATTATAATGCGCTAAGCTACACACAAAAGGAAATATGCTAAACAATATATAGTTAAGAACTAACTGGATCAAAATAAAACTAAGCAAAGTATGGTTTACAATTAGCCAAGCAAATAGGTTATGTTAATTAAGCCTACACCACTGTAATCTTGGAAGGAAAAAATAAGAATAAAAAATAAAAATGTCGTTACAATAACAACAAAGTTCAGTGACATTTCGTCATTACTGATATCGTCGATTCTTGCGAAAGTCCTGGAACCTAGCGCTGAAACCGTCGAAAGAGTTGGTATGTTTTTGAATGTCGTCTTTCATGTTGTACATGCTTTTGTCTTGACTGGTGGAACGTTTTCTAACGACACCCCTAGAAATATGAAATGATTTCTATTGCATTGGTTGAAATGACAGTACATTAAACATAATGGTATCGATGAATGCATTTATAGAACTGGTAGAATGGTTGTTAAACATTTGATACAGAGGAGGTTAATTCAACTTATACTGCATTTCCTGGTGCACATTGTATGAAGATGTCGAAAATTCATGACGACTCCTAAATTTTTTTTCCAGTACATGTTATACTGGCCCTGAAGGGACGAAAAATAAGCAGGAGAGAAAGAAGAAGAGGAGGAGGAAGAAAAAGAAGAAGACGAATAAGAATAAAGAGAGAGGAGGAGTAGGAAAAGAAGGTGGA